GCAGCAGGATGACGACAGTAACGCTTCAAAGTAAAAGAAGAGAAAAGAGCTCAGATATGTTATTTTACTGTTTTATTTAAATAAAAATTCACTGATAAACTGACAAAATATGACACTTCTGTTATTTTAAAGGAGGAAATGCTGCTCGGATAAAATCAACATGATGATCATTGTGGAATATTTAGGCTCACAAACAACTTTATAATTGCAAATTAATTATATTTGTGCATTTTTGTGATTTGTGCTTTAACATCAACGTCTTACTGTTCATGACTGATGGGAGAAAATAAAAACCACCCCGGATTTCTCCTCAGCACTGTGGCCAGGCTCACAGTCCTGCTGTAACGACTCTTCACTGCCCTCGAACAGCACAGTGAGCTGCTTGCTGTGTCCTGTGGGCTTTGTTCGTTTACACCCTTTGTGGGTTTTTTGTTATTATATATTTTTGTGTTTTTATGTACAGTTGATGAATGGATGAACATGGTAAAGTACCTTAGGCTGTAAATACTGATGTGTTTGACGCAGTTCGCATTAAAATTGTCATCCATATAAAAATAAAATACTTTATTTTTATTTTGAAAATCACACAACGCAAAAACCAAAGAAACCGCAGTGCTGCTCGTTCCTGATTGGACGATTAGACTTACTCTCAGCCTGACCAATGAGCGAGCAGCAGGTGATTATATAAACGCGTAGTCTCTGCCTGAGTCCATGTTCTCGCGGGAATAGCACGAAGTCAGTTACAAAGATGTCTGGACGCGGAAAGGGCGGAAAAACCAGAGCGAAGGCAAAGTCCCGGTCCTCCCGGGCCGGGCTGCAGTTCCCGGTGGGCCGCGTCCACAGGCTGCTGAGGAAGGGTAACTATGCGCAGCGTGTTGGCGCCGGCGCCCCGGTGTACCTCGCGGCGGTGCTGGAGTATCTGACGGCTGAGATCCTGGAGCTGGCCGGAAACGCCGCCCGCGACAACAAGAAGACCAGGATCATCCCCCGCCACCTGCAGCTGGCCGTCCGCAACGACGAGGAGCTGAACAAGCTGCTGGGCGGAGTGACGATCGCTCAGGGCGGCGTGCTGCCCAACATCCAGGCCGTGCTGCTGCCCAAGAAGACCGAGAAGGCGAAATGAAGCTCCGGGAGAAGCGCGCTGATAATAACGGCTCTTTTAAGGGCCACACACAACATCTGAGAGCAGTACGACCTTAAATGAACCATGGCGGGTCACAGCCCGGACTCACTGGTCTGACCCGCTCTGGGTTAATGTTTCTTCACCTTAATCAACCAAAAGCAGCTGTGACACAAACCTGTGT